CACACACACACACACACACACACACACACACACACACACACACACACACATATATATAAACTAGAATAAGAGCAGCAGGAAACAGAGGCTGAAGAAGAACAAGGTGTCATCATGTGATTGGTTTCTCATGATGCTTCAACATCAAGCTGATATTTCTGGAGGTGAAGAAGCTCCTCACACAGAAAATATGTTCAAAAGGCTCAAATGTGAGAATATTTCCTCACATTATTATATCTCATTATTGTTTTTGTTTTATTATTAGGGCTTGCCATATCAACTGAATGGCAGCACCTGTTGTTATCCACCTAAAAAAGGATCTCTAACTTTCTACTTTTATATCTTTTTATAATCGCACATAAATGAGGCCCGAACAAAAACATGTGCCCCTAAAAATGTTACATCAAAATGACCGACTCAGTGGTTTCGAGTTACAAGTGCCATGGTGACGTAAATCGGAAAAAAATACCATAAAAAAGCTCATAGTGTAAAGTTTTGTAGTATGGAACCCAAAGTTCAGGCAGACTAGGTGAGTTGAAAAAACAAAGAAAAAGGCTGGCGTGGCAGCAAAATACAAAACTACAACAACGACAAGAACAAGGCTAGATGCATGAAAAGAACAATGATCCAACGGGCTAATGAAGACATGACACTGGTTAAATACAACTGAGGATGACTGGGAGTGGAAGCAACTGGTTGATTACAGACTATGGACAGGTGAGAGTGGCAGGCTGGAAAAACACTAAGAAGATACTGAGGATAACATGACACAGGAAGTGGACAAAACTAACAGGAAATAAGAAAATAAGACAAGATGGCCAGACAGTGAAACAGAACTCTAACAAACTGAACCATAAAAACAACATCATGACACATAGGAGTACACTGAGCTGAGCTTCCAACCGAGTCATGTGACCTACACTATCTGCATTTCCATTCACCATGAAAATGAGCAAATTAGAATTTTGAAAATAAATTTGCTCAATGGAAACACGTCAATTTCGAAAAAACTTACATTTTTCAACAAAATGTTTTTGCGCTAGGATAAGGTGGTTTTTCAGCTGTATCAAAATTGGTGTATTTCACAAAACTGCAATGGAAACAGTTTTATCACATCACGGGAGTCACGTGATCAACAACAACAGGATGTTTCTACTGGTGAAAAAGACGACAAAGAAGACAACAGGAAGTAGAAGTAGTAAAATCACAGAAGTAGTAAAAAAAGTAGTAAAATCGCAGAGTAAAATTTCCCAAAAACGCCACATACGTAGCTCCTCCCAAGTATAAGGGACTTATCACTCGAAAGCCTTGATAAGATGCCGACGTCTCCTCTGATGATGAGCGCTAGTACCGTGGCAACAATATGCATGTGTTTACATCCGTTAATGGAAACATCACAGCTGCGAAACTGTGTTTTTTCGACATTAACAGAATATAAACAAAGTTTTGCGCACATTTGCAATGGAAACGCAGCTAGTGAAAGCTGTCTGGATTTTAAATATTTCTTAGTAAACAACTTGTTCCTACAGGCACAATTTTTATGATACGCAGACAAATTATACAGTATACTGTATCAAACTGTAGGCATTTTCATCTTCTTTCAGACAGTATTTCTGGTTTTGCTGTAGGAAAAACATTTTTTTCTCAAAGTGTGTCAGAAGTCAGGGAGGTACTGCTTCCCTCCCTATCTTTCTCCATGTAAAATTTATTTTACGTTCTGGTTCCAAAGCAAAACATCAACCATTTTCAACTCGCCATATCTCTGAGATACAGTGCTGTACAAATTTGAAATTTTCCAAGAGTAAAAAACAATGTTTTCTGTCGCTCATGGTTCAAGAATTATTGGAACAAACTCTATAGTTTTCACACAGCGGCTGGCTGTCTGAACTAAACTTTTCAGAGATTTCTCATGTTACAAGTGTGGTGATGCAGATGGTTCCTGTAACGACACCACAATCAGGCCTTCTGATTGGCTGAGGCTGTTGCTGGGCAGAGTAGCCTCTTGAGTGACGGAACAAAGAAGGGGCTTTATGTAACCCAACATGGCACCCAGATTGCTCAAAGGTTTTAGGCCATACAAAGCTGAAATTTAGTGTGGTGGTAGAGAAGGGTCTCTATCACATACTGAAGCCAAATCAAAAATCCAAGATGGCTGTCATTGCTAAAAGGCAAAACTTTTAGCTATGACAAAACCATAACTCAGCATTTTTAGATATATTTGGCTCAAACTTGGGATGGGAGTAGATCACAGTGATGTCTAACAAACATCCATCCGTGTATCCATCCATCCATCCATCCATCCATCCATCCATCCATCCATCCATCCATCCATCCATCCATCCATCCATCCATCCATCATCTATACTCGCTTTGTCCAACAAACAGTAAAATCAAATCTTTATTTCAACATTATGACACGTGGAAAGCCCTTTCATATTTTCTCCAGGAACTATTCTAATATTTAATCAAGTAGTTATTTATTTTTAACATAATTATTATTTTGAATGAGGTCATTTTCATTGTTTAGAAGCATTTTTTCCATTAAAAGAAACAGAAAAATAAACTGAAATTCTGCTTTTTTAAATCACGTCCATCTTGTTTGCAGCCCAGTCTGAAGTCAGAGATATTTGTAGCCCTGAGCTGCTCTTCATCCTGCCCTCTGGCTCCTTTTCATCCTCCCCCTCGCCCCCCTCCTCCCACCTGTTCTCTCTGCGTGAATCTTGTTACCTGGCAGACGACAGGAAACTGAGGCTTCTTGACGTGGTGGCCATCAATCCCCAGCGGGAAGACTGCAGCCAGCGCCATCATGCAGCCCACCGCCGTCATGTTGTTCAGGTACGGCTGAGAGTTCTGGATGTAGCTGCAACGCACAAAAAAAAAACACGTTTGGGTTCAGAGAAACACGTCTCCGCTGAGAGCTCGATCAAAGAAGGTGAGGCTGTTTCCTGTCTGCGGACAGTTCTCACAAATCAGTTTTAGTTAATTGTTTTGAATCCTCTGGTTTGAACCATCCGGTTGTCTTTTGTCTCTAAATCAGGAAAGATTCCGGGGTTTCTCCTCTGAAGTCAGAGCTCCAGGAACGGGTCTAATTAGTGTCGACAGAAGGCGACATCTTGTCTGTGCAGCACGACCATCTCAGGTGAAACAAACACTTTTTATCATAAAGACAAAAAATAAAATAAAAAAATATGTGTTAAATGTGTGTTTTGTGTGCTGGAAGCAAAATAAAACACTCCAGAGCAGAAAAAAATAACAAATCAGTTTACTAATTTATTTTCACTTAACACAATTAGCTCAGAGCTCTCCAGCACCGGCGTGTTGATTTCTCTGAATAATCGACCGTTTTATTAGAAACTGATTCATGAAGTCCAGCTAAATATTTACATCAGCACGGCTCATTTCACAGCTATAAGTCATGTGTCAAACCCATTTTATTTTAATGAGGAAGAGGAACATTAGGGCCGAGATGAAAATATTAATACGTCATGCTGAGACAACAAAAGCATTGTTCTCATTTTTGTTGTTATTTTCACAGATTTGGCTTCACAAACACAATCTGACTGAAAAATACAAGCTTGAGCCTGAAGGTTTTCAAGTTTTAAAGCTTTTCTGAACTGAACAAAGATTTGAAATAAAACACCTGCTGGTTTATTCTTTCCTGCTGGAACCTGATGTATAGGATCTCAGGTCGACAGATTTGGGTGTTGGAGGTGTTTAAAAGCTGCCTCTCACACAGAACACCATCGTCAGATGGATTTACAGAAGTCCAGTTCTTAAAAACTTTTAAAAGCAGCCCCCTCACAACTCTAGTTTAGGCTTTGTATGGAGGTAAATTTGTGTTTTTATTATTCAATCAAACAAAAAGCATCTTCAATCAAAAAAAAAAAACAATTTCAATCAAAAATATTTTTTTCAACCAAACAAAAAATAAATTTAATCAAAATTAATATTTTCAACCAAAAAATAATAATTTCAACCAAACTAAAAAAACAGTTTCCATTTAAAAAAATTATTTCAACCGGAAAAAAAATGTTTCATCAACTAAACAAACAAAAAAAACTATTTCAATCAAAAAAATAAAAAACCTATCAAAAAGTTTTTTGCAAAACAGAAACTTTTGGTTGAATCTCAAACTTTTGGTTGACGCTTTAAGTTTTTGGTTGACTTTTTAAGTTTTTGGTTGAACTCAAAAAAGATTTGAACTCAGAAATCACAAACTATGGTAGTGGTGCAGGGAGTAGAGAAGCCAAGCTTGTGATTTGAAGATACCCGGTTCAACTCCAGGCTGGTCTCCACGATGCACTTGTGTTCACATGTGTGATAGGTTAAATGTAGAGACTTAAAGGAGACCTATTGTGCAAAATTCACTTTTTAAAAGTTTTTTTTACTCAACTTTGGGTGTGTACTTCTTAAGAAAACAGTCCTAGGACCAAAGAAATGCACCCAAGGGCATATTTACTGTAAGTAAATGTATTTTAATGTATATTAATGACAAGTTTTATACATTTTGTGATGTCACAAGCCGTACAACAACCCACCAGAACCTGCGTTCAGCCTCTTACCTAGCAAACCCCAGGTGAAGCTGCTCCTCCGAGCTTGGCTTCTCTACTCCCTGCGACACTACCCTAGTTTGTGATTTCTGAGTTCAAATCTTTTTTGAGTTCAACCAAAAACTTAGAAAGTCAATCAAAAACTTAGATAGTCAACCAAAATCTTAGACAGTCAACCAAAAACTTAAAGCGTCAACCAAAAGTTTGAGATTCAACCAAAAGTTTATGTTTTGCAAAAAACTTTTTGATAGTTTTTTTTTTATTTTTTGATTGAAATAGTTTTTTTTGTTTGGTTGATAAAACATTTTTTTTGGTTGAAATTATTTTTTTAAATTGAAACTGCTTTCTTAGTTTGGTTGAAATTATTATTTTTTTGGTTGAAAATATTATTTTTGATTGAAATTATTATTTTTTTGATTGAAGATGTTTTTTGTTCGATTGAATAATAAAAACACAAATTTACCTCCATACTTTGTTTTATTCTCTATTTGTTTTATAACACTGTTTTTTTTCTGGTTTTTAGATCCAATCGTAGCTAAGAGACAACATGGATTAATATTTAAAATGATTTCAGATGCAACAGATTTAAATAAACCTTCAGTTCTTGGATTATTTTATATTTATTCATTTATTAATTTCATTAAAAAATAAACAAAACACATTTCACACAATAAAACAATACAAATAAAATAAAATGAAAGGCAGAAGAAGAAGAAAAAATTCTTATAGCTGCTCCTTTTAAAAAAACATTTCAAACAATAATAAACCAAATAATAAAACAAAACAAAAAAAAATTCAACTCCTCAAACAGTAACTAATACAAATTAAACAATTTCATATTTCTTTAACAATTTTGCTTTGATTGTTTTCTTAAAGGAACTCACTAATCCAACGCTTTTATACTAATTTTCCAGATTATTCCATAGTCTTATACCTTTTACTGAAGTRCATCTGTCCTTTAAGTTTGTTCTTATTTTTGGTTTAACAAACATTTGTAATCCCTTCAAATTATAGCAGCTTTCCCTCTTAACAAAATGTGATTGGATGTTTGATGGCAACACATTTCTATGAGCCTTATACATAACCTGCAGAATGCTACTATAATCAACCAACTCATGAAATTTTAACAAATTTAATTGATGAAACAATATATTAGAAGGGTGATAGTAATGCTTTCAATTATAATTGCGTTAATTTAATTGCAAAAATGTAATTTCGATAATAATTGCTTTTGATTATAAAGCCCAAGTGGAGCTTTAACTCATATCTAAATTAATTCATCATCTAAATGTTACACACTTAAATATGGAGTTCCACAAGGATAGATTTTAGGCCTTTATGTGTTGTACATGCTGCGACAGGCAGTGGTGGGCAGCACTAACTCAAATGAGCAAGATTATCTCCATTTACCAGAAAACATCCAGGTAAGATACAAGTCAGCCCTTTACTATCATCTAGTAGAAAAACCATTTTCTTTCACAGATTGGCACATGTCGTTGCAGTTTGGGGAGGTGATTTGTAGAAACAGACTTTTAAATCATGGTTGTAAAATAAAAAATAGTTGCTGATTGCCAGTTCTGCTGCTTCTTGGTCATTTTCTTATGTTTATGGCAGAGCTTCAGTAAGAAAACATGCAGATATATTAGTAATTTTAAACTGTTGTAAAACTGAAGCAATGCATTCTGGTTAGGCTACAGGACGAAGAACAGGAACTCTGTTCTTTTCAAAATAAGAGCGTGAATTTAAACTGTTCCGTGTTTCTTTGTTATTATTATTTATTTACTTAATATTTCTTGATGTGGTGTCCCTTGGAGAGGGACAATCCCTAAAGCGCAAAGGAGAAATTTAGGTCCACAATTAGTGCATTTGCCCTTTAGTGCACTAGTGGCCACCACTGGTGACAGGAAACATCTTCCAGAGATAAAATATCTATTTTTCATGTTCTAAATTAAAAAGTGATTTCTTTTTTTCTCCATTGCCCTCAGTTGCCATGTTTCCATCCAATTTTAATTTGAATTTTGTGTGGACTCTTTAAATGTCGCAAAAAGGAATAAAAGAATAAATGTGTGTTTCCACTGGCTTGGAGGGAATCAATCAAAGTGTACTTATGTCAGACATTGTTACTCATGGCTTTAGTAAACAGGAAGTAGTAAACAGGAAGTGACCTCACAGGGACACAGCAACACCTCAGGACAATGGAGAGAAGTTATCAGGAAAGTTATATTTATTCTGTTATATCAGCTAGTGTTGGTGATGTTACTGCTGTCTGCATACGTAGAAAAATAAACGCAGTTCTCTTCACGTTACGGGAATATCAAGGAAGACACCAACAGCAGGAACTTTTGCCATTTCCATCTACCTTTTCTAATGTGATACTTCAAAATGTGTATAAAAAAGCTGATGGAAACACAACTACTGAGATGATAGTGGATCAAATATATATGTTCCCCCTGTGCAAACATGTTTTATTCAGGTTCCCCGGTTTCCTCCCACAGACCAAAAACATGCATGTTAATATAAAAGATTGGTTGTCTCTATGTGTCTCTATGTGTCTCTATGATGGACTGGAGACATGTCCAGGTGTCCCCCACCTCTTCCTGTGACTCATTAAGAAGAAGCAGGAAAAGAAATGGATGGATGGATGATTAGCGTTTATTAACGATTTGTTGCTGACACATTTTAAGCTACATTAGCGTGATAGCTTTTAGCATGTACACAGTGAGGGGGTAATATTAGAAAAATACTTGAATAATTGAAGGCAGTTATAATCAGTTCTAGAATTATAGATTTTGTTTATCTCAGTCTTTGAAAATCAGACTGAAGTTTTGTCCGTGGGAATAAAATTCAAAACAACTTTTACAAATTTAATCAAGTATTAAAATGATCAGAAAGAAGATTTACAGCTCTGTGTGTTTATTTAATCATAAAGCTCAGTTTGATAGACGGTCCATAAATGGTTCCTGATTTAAGACATGAATGTGTGTGTGTGTGTGTGTGTGTGTGTGTGTGTGTGTGTGTGTGTGTG